AGGGGAAGCTGCTAAACTTTGGCTTAGCTCACTTCTGAGAAGCTGCACTTGTAAGATCAGACACAGATTGTACAGCAGTTCCACTGGAAGTGCTGCACTGCTTGGACTTGGCCAGCAGGTCACAGCACACTTTGACTTCCAGTGCAGTCAAGGTGCTCACCTGCTCAAAGTGGTTCAGAATAAGGAATGAGGTCTGGCAACAAAATGTTACCTCTCCTGGACCAAATAAAGTGGAAAAATATGGACTGCATCAAATGAAAGGAGAAAATAAAAAGAAAGGGAAAAATAAAAAAGTAAATGCAGATGGCAGTGGGCACCTCTAATGTATTTCCATTCATTTACAAGAACATATGAAGTTCTGCTTTCTCATGTGCAGAAAGAAGAGATGCAGCCTTGCTGTTTAAAGGCCCCCTTCAATACCTTTCCTTGGGCTTAGACAATTCCCATTATGGAAGAGTAATTTGAATTGTAGCTTCTCACACTAAGCCTTTTGTTCCTCAGCTTGAGCTGTCATTCTTCACTAGTCACTCACCTTCATCCAGCCAGCTGGAAATGCCTGAGCAACCTTTTTGTTCTGGGCAGGGGTTTGTGCTCCAAGTTTAGAATTTACAATTTATTTCACATGCCTACTTCCATTAAAAAAAAAAAAAAAAATAAAAAGCCAAAAAATAAAAACCAACACATTAGAAATATTTTCAATGAAAAATAGAGGTTTCGGTCAACCTTCACACCAACCCAGACTGTAATGACAGTAGCCTGTAACAAATACTGTTGCTTTAGGTGCAATACTTCCTGACAACATAGAAGAGACAGAATGCAACAACAGCAAGCAAGAAATCAAGGTCAGAATCCTAAACAGATGCTCAGATTCCCCAGATTAGAGTTTCCACATCATAATTACCAATGTTTCAGTGACGGTTGATGAGACAAGTCTGTAAAATCTTATAACCAGGATAAATCTCTAACAAAGACATAGGTAGCCTAACAAATACTGGAGGAAAGACAAAGAAAGTTGCTCACCTTATTTATTAGGCTGCTAATCACATCTCTCATTACCAGTATCCTTCAGATGTATCACCTTCCAGTAGCAGCTCTAAAGGACAAAGTATCTTCACGGGCTAATATCTTTCTTATTTCAATCTCAAAAGCACTTAACTACAGAGCAGGTGGCACAAACTCAGGAACTACACCTTTTCTAAGCTGAGAGCTTCTGCTGCAATACTTCAAAACAAATTGCCTTTACTATTTGAGACTACAGCACTTCAAAAGACATAATGTCCTACTAGGTAGGGATGCCCTTTCTATCCAAATTTTCTAACATAAAAAGGGCTAGTGTTTAGTGTTTTCAGTACAGTCAGTCTTTCCTCACTGTTCTAAGACTTTCCTTCCAAATATTCTAATTGAAATTATTATTAGATATATATAAATTTTAGAATTAATCCTTTGGGTCTATTTAAGAAGATGCATACACAAAATTCTCATAATAAAAGTGTTGTCAGAGCTGTGCTAGAGCAAAGGCATGTAGCTTTGGAAATTTTGGAGTCTTTTTCCACTCACTTAAACTCACTGTTTTCCACAAACTCACTGAACTCCAAGTAGATTCCCAGCTGGATGGTAACATAGCAGATTCTCTTTCAGCCCAAGCTTTTAGAGCTCACTGTTACAGCAAAACAAATCTCTGTGATCTACATCCAGGTGCACGGCAAGTTGCTGCTGTTTGTCTCTCTCCTCTCTTCTGTAAAATGACCAGATTCTACATCTGGCTGGGATGAAGATCAGTCTGTAGCCAGCCAGCAGCTGTTCTAAGCAGCAGAGTTAAAATGCCAAATGGTGATGCTCCTTTTGGACACGTATCTTCCTGCATGGCCCTGCTGCAGGGCTGGACTCACCACGTAACCTGCCTTTCCCCATCGTTGTCACCAGTTCTCAGGGGCTTCTTGTAACAATGAGGTAAAGTTTTTTTTCCATACTTTATAGTTCCAAAACCTCCATCAAATCCTAAATAGAAATACATCTCTCTTTCAGACCTCTCTGAATTAAGAAAAGCCTCTAGTCTCCCTACTGTAACAGTGCACATACAAATGCATAGGGAAATCTGCTTTCTGCAACATCAGGAACCCTCCTGCACTCCTCAGGGATGGCACCAGCACCCTCTGCTGTCATACAGCAGCACCAAAGTCAGCTGAACCCCCCCTAGTCGCTATACTACGCACAGGGAATTTCAAGGGCAGCTTTCAACGTCATCAGCTAAAGATCCTGAGCCATAAAACCTCACAGTGACATTCTGCAATGAAGTCTGCAAGACTTCAAGTCTTCAAGAGAGCTTATTTTCAAAGACAGTAACTGTGTCTAGAAATACCCACTCAAAATGAGATTATTGTATTATTTGCACTGATCAAACACCTAAAAGCTACACTAGGATGCCATGAAATCAGTCATGCTAATAGAGTTACCAACTTCTGTAAATGCATTAATAAATCACTGATATTTCAATGTGTATTGCAAAACTCTATATTCTAAAGTCTTATGATTATATGAGACTCAGTTTTGATTTTTTTCTCAGCATCCTTTTTGTTCCCTTGGTTGCAGAGAGAAACTGGAAAACATTAATTTCAGAAATCCAGAATGCAAGTAAATTTAAAATGTAACATCACGCGATCCTCATGTGGCTTTCTTCTTTCTAAAAGCAGCCCCAAAATGCCTTAGAACAGCTGGCTAGCCACACCAAAACATTCAAATGAGTATTTACAAGGCTTCCTGTGACCACAAGTGCGAGCCTTCAAGCCGACCCTGTACTGAAGAAGCAATAACTCCAGAGCAAACAGAAGGGCCATCAGCTTTCTGGTGATATTCCAAACTTTTAAATAACTAGAAAAGTTATTTAGTCTGACCAGCTGTGTTGATCAGTCCTAGGCCACACAGAAGTATCTCCAAACAAGACCTATGCAATATGTTCTTATATAGAATCTATATTGACCAAAGACCTCTTTTTATTTTGTCTTTAATGAATGAGGGCCATCTATCACTCTTCTTTTCCCAGGCATTATACCATCATCACGGGCAACAGCATTTAATCATAAACCAAATATGGAAACGGAATACAAAAAGGGTTCCTTCAAGACAAGGGTTACAAAAACCTATATACATACCAAACATAAAAGACAGGAACAATATTAAGATCAAAAGCAAACAGAGGGGAGGAGAAATTATAGTATCACTTGAAGTACTTTGTGTGAAGGACCACAATCTATGCTCAAAAAAGGAGAAGAGAGTTTGCTGAATGTAGAAACGCACATGTTTTACACAGGGTCAGTAACCTTGTGATGGGATGGCAGCTGTACAGAACTTCAGGAATCAAAGCTGAGTGTATTCATTTAGATTATACTCAAAAGTGTCAGAGAAATACAAGTTTCTGTTCTTTGTACTAGAAGATATGCTTCCTAAAAAAGAGGAAAACAAGTAGTAAAATACACGTGGATTACCACGCAAGTGTGAAACTCTTACTCTTTCTGGTGATAGTACAAAATAAACAGTATCTATAGCTTCAGTGAGCCTACTTGAGGGAGTAAGTTTTCACCTATGTAAAAAAAAAATCACAGTCTAGCTCCTAATTAATACTGTTTTCAAGTTGGAAGAGCTACATATTAAAATCAGGCCAAGACTGGAAGATTAAAGTCATGCTTGAGCTGGTACCAAATTTTTTGGTTTGCAGTTAATCCTATCAATACATAATACTTTCCATATAAATACCTACCAACCTGCCAGCTAAAAGCTGTCCATTGGCCAAGTCAGCCCTCAAATTCTGCACTGACTGTAAACAAAACCCACACAAATGTGCAATGCTGCAAGAGCTGAAAAGGACCAGTAAGTGCCACTGCCACTTAAGCCACTAACGTAATTTCACAAAGCTTATTTTTCAAATGTCTGCTTCCTTCAAAGTTAAAACAACTGTCAACCGAAGTGACTGCAAGGCCAGGCCCTGAGAGAACAATCCTTTCCCAGCTGCACATTCTTGGACTTGTGTTGAGTTACTGGTCAAAGACTGATGAGGCAAGGAGGAAAGCAGATGCCCCTTTCATCACTAATGTTAAATACAACTGACTAAATACACATCCACATGAACACGAAGAGTAGCATTTGTTGAAAACAAGATGCCACCTTCTAGGTAGCAAGTAGTTCCCATCCTCTACACGCTCTTTTAAGAAAGATGATTGGCTGACGAGCCTCACAAAAAATAATTGCTATTTGCCATAGTTAAAGAAAGGACTTTTTTTGGTAGAATTCCCAAATTCTCCCAGTTTTCCAAAAGTGAAACCAAACACAGAGTCCATGCTGGAGTGTGGTGGTTTCCCAGTGCATGGGAGGGAGCAGGTGTGTGGCTCTGGGCTATTCTAGCAGGCGTCATGAGCAAAGCACGAGACACACAGTGTTGTGACTTCACCCAAAAGCTAGAATTACTCCAGCTCACAATGCTGTTTAGATCTTAGAGCTATTACAGAAGAGATTCATTAACAATCAGAAGCAAAGTCAGACTGCCCATCCCAGAGCATTAGAGACAGAAGTGTGATGCCATCAATGCCCGTGAGTCACGACGTGTCAGTGCCCAGCATTGTATCTATCTTACAGCACACATTAATTTCTTAGCCAAAGTCACGTTCCACAAAATACTGTATGGTCTGCAGAAACTTTAAAAACATATTTTTGCAAGGGAAATGTTTCAAAAGCCTGAATGAAGCATGTCTTCTTAAAACATCACTGTCAGGTGAGTAAGATGTAATAAACAGATTAAGTTTTCCTAGTATTTGGTAGTAGGAAATGCCCAGCTTCCTAATACTTCAAATTAAGCCTGCAACAGCATTTCTTCTTTGTGCATTTACACACAACAGTCTGATCAGGAGTTTTAAGGCTCTTATTTCTCAAAAAAAGGTCACAGTAAAGAAGGGATTAAATGGAGTTAACGCAGCTATTGGCAATGCGAAGAAGGATGGTCGTGTCATTTGCTATTGTACAATCTGGGGCATTTCACTCCATGCTTTGGCTTTCTTCTTGGCCAGGGATAGCCACGGTGGTTCAGC